TGCGCCCCGGCCAGGCAGAGGGAGGGGAGGGCAGGGGCCTTGGGCTGGAGTCCGTGCCAAAGGAAGGGAGTGGAAGGGCCTCAGGCCAGAGTCCACAACGAGGAACACTGGGATCACAGAGTCTGCCTCCAGGGATGCCCAGCATCCACGCCCCGACCGGGGGGAGGAAGGGGAGGGCAGGGTCCTTGGGCCGGAGTCCATGGCAAGGGATTCTGGGCTCGCTGCAATGCCAGCCCAGAGTCCATGCTGAAGGAGGGGATGGGAGGGGAGGGCCCTGGGGCCAGAGTCCACGGTGAGGGATGCCGGGCTCATTGCAACACCAGCCCAGAGTCCAAGCCGAAGGAAGGGAGGGCAGGGTCTTTGGGCTGGAGTCCCTGGTGAGGAATGCTGGGCTTGCAGTGACGTGTTCAGCTTTAGAAGTTATTTACTAACTATCAGTAAGTAAATAACTTCTAAAGCTGAACATGTGTGCTTCACCGGGTAAAGAGAGGGGAGGGAAGGGGCCTCGGACTGGAGTCTGCACCCCGGACGCACGGAGGGAAGGGAGGGCAGGGGCCTTGGGCCAGAGTCCACATTGAGGGATGCTGGCATCGTTGCAGGCCGGGCTGAGGGACCCCCCGCCCCCATGCACGAATTTCATGCATCAGGCTACTAGTATTAAAATATTTCCTCTAATTAATCCCTTTTAATGTGCACAAATTTTGTGCACTGGGCCACTAGTATTATCTATAAAAAATCACAGGTTTGAATCTTATAATCCTACTAGAGGCCCGGTGCATGGATTTGTGCACTGGTGGGGGCCGTGGCCTGTGGGGATTGGCCTGCTGTGGGAGTGCCACTTATCCTGGTCAGCCAAGTGGCTGTGGACCTGCCCTCTGAGTGATGCTCCCACTGTGTAATTCTGACTTTTTAAAATCAAGATATAAAGTCAATAAATATAAAGTCACACTGACCACCAGGGGGAAGCTCCTGCTTTGAGTGTCTGGCCCCTGGTGGTCAGTGCACATCATAGTGACTGGTCAACTGGTTGTTCTAGTTGTTCTACCATTCATTCACTGGGCTTTTATATATATAGATGAAATAGATATTCATTATATACCCCCAGTGGTTCTCATGCCATGAAGTTTCTGGGTCCAAAGTTCTGGTCTATCAGTATTTGTTTGTTTGTTCATTATATAAATGATTTCTTTTTGTGTTGTTTATTATTTATTCCTTATTGTTCTTTTTCTATTTTCTTCTACATGTCCTGTTTTAGATGTTCTTTGTATGCATTACAGATTACTTCTTTTATAAATGGAGATTATAGGTTTATGTACAGATGTGTGCAAAGAGCCCTAACAGACAAAGTCTGCATTCTAGCTCCTCCAGGTATCAGTAGTCACTCAAAGCCTCTGTCTGTTCATGCTAGAATGAGAGGAGTGGCCCATTTGCCCTCACTCTTTGAGGATCATTGAGATATGAAGCACATGAACCCAACATATGGTATTAGTTCATTTACAAAGAAAAACTATTTCAGAACATCTAGGTAATAAACTGGGGAATATATGAAAAAGTAGTCACTGTAGTGTAATTCTGACTTTTTAAAATCAAGATATAAAGTCAATCATCAATGAGTTTTTATTGACAGTATTTTGTCAAATTTTTTATAAAAAAAACATATTCAAATGTTACCAAATATAATATGAGCTAACCATAAATTCTAGAGTTAAAAAAACACAACATTCTAAACAAATGGAAGAATGTACCGTGTTCATGGATTAGTAGAATCAACATCATTAAAATTTCCATACTACCCAAAGCAATGTATAGATTTAATGTAATCCCCATTAAAGTACCAAGAGCATATTTCAAAGACCTAGAACAAACTCTCCAAAACTTCATCTGGAATAAAAAAAGACCCCAAAAAGCCACAGCAATTCTGAGAAAGAAGACCAAAGTTGGAAGGATCACAATTCCAGATATCAAGCTATATTACAAAGCCACGGTTCTCAAAACTTCCTGGTACTGGCACAAGAACAGAGATATAGAGCAATGGAACAGAACAGAGAACCCAGAAATAGACCCAAGGCACTATGTCCAATCAATATAGGACAAAGGAGGCAAGAGCATAGAATGGAATCAAGACAGTCTCTTCAATAAATGGTGCAGGGAAATTTGGTCAGATATCTGCAAAAAAATGAAACTAGATCACCAACTTACACCAAACACAAAAACAAACTTTAAATGGTTAAAGGACTTAAATGTAAGATGGGAAACCATAAAAACCTTAGAAGACTCCATAGGCAGCAAAATATCAGACATATATTGAAGCAATATCTTTACCAATACAGCTCCTGGGGCAATGGAAACTAAGAAGAAAATAAACAAATGGGACTACATCAAAATAAAAAGCTTCTGCACAACAAAAGAAACCATCAACAAAACAACAAGAAAGCCCACTGCATGGGAGAACATATTTGCCAAAGCTATTTCAGATAAGGGTTTAATCTCCAAAATTTGCAGGGAACTCATGCAACTTAACAAAAGAAGATAAACAATGCAATAAAAAAAAATGGGCAGAGGACTAAGTAGACACTTTTGAAAGAGGACATACAGAAGGCCGAGAGACATATGAAAACATGCTCAAAGTCACTAATCATCCGAGATGCAAATCAAAACAACACTAAGGTACCATCTCACACTTGTCAGAATGGCTATCATCAACAAATCAACAAACGACAACTGCTGGCGATGATGTGGAGAAAAAGAAACCCTCGTGCACTGCTGGTGGGAATGCAGACTGGTGCAGCCACTGTGAAAAACAGTATAGAGTTTCCTCAAAAAGTTAAAAATGGAACTGCCATTTGACCCAGTTATCCCACTTCTAGGAATATATCCCAAGAAAC